AGCTACTGGGAAAACAAAACCCAGAAGGCTCTCAGGGCAAATCCCGCCAAGGTCGACTTTGGTTAGGATGATATCAATCTAACATTGACCGATCAGTAGTAACCTCATGTGATATCAAGCATATGTCGAGAAGATCAACACACCGGCTCGTGCAGTCAGGGCATAAAGAGACGAGGCTCATTGGATATCGCATTCTCGTAATGGACCACTCGTTGGATTGCTTCTACAAACTCATCATCGTTTTGAGACAATCAGGGCGCATCAGGCCATGTATCTACCCCGCCTGCTGTACGCGGCTCAACTCGGAAATCCTTTGACGCAACGGTGACTTGGCTCACAAACACGAGATATCGAATGCTTCGGTAACTGGCACTTCAGTGTCTTGCTCGGCGCACTGGATGTGGAGAGTGGTTCGGCCCGTTCTCCGCAGATGATTCTCTAAATGGAATCCGATTCGCTGTTGTTATCGAACCGCATGAGTGCATCTTTCCAGTTTTTGATCAGTCTAACGCCCACTGGAAGATTTTGCCTTTTCGAGCAAGCTGCGGTTGCATTCATGCGACAGTTCAAGCGTGATTTTATGCATCCATCCAGAGACTTCTTGGACTGCGGATGACATCTTCCATCATGTCGTAAACCCCGCTCATTCCCTGATCTACTAAGATGGCTGGATATAAACCCCCCTATCTGTGCAAAAAGTCTCCATATCACACATGTCATCATTTTATCTCTGTTCGAAGCGGAATTCTTACGACAAAATCCCATCGCAGAGTTGAGTTGTCAGTATGGCTCAGCCTATCGAGGTCGATGCCCTCGTCGTGGGGGCAGGATTCGGCGGTATCTACGCAACATACAGCCTGACCCGCATGCAACCGCGCATGAAAGTTCAAACTGTCGAAATGGCTAGCGACGTCGGAGGCACATGGTACTGGAATAGATATCCCGGTGCCATGAGTGATACAGAAAGCTACCTGTATCGTTACTCCTGGGACAAGGACGACCTGCAAACGTACCCCTGGTCGCACCATTACGTCTACCAGCCCGAGATCCTGAAGTATCTCGAACATGTTGTGGCTAAGCATGACTTGCGAAAGTACATGTCGTTCAACTGTCAGATGCAGTCGGCGACGTGGGACGACAGTCTACATCGCTGGCGGATCGAATGCTCCTCGACAGGAATCAGCTCCGAAAGAACCGTGTATCATGCTCGATACCTCGTCAACTCGCTTGGCGTACTTTCCAAGGCAAATTATCCAGACATTGCCGGCTTGAAAGACTACCAGGGAATCACGTGTCACACTGCAAAGTGGGATGATACCATCGAGTTAGAGGGAAAGAGAGTCGGCATCATCGGGAGTGGTTCCACCGGCGTGCAAGTCATGACAGCAATCGCACCCATCGTGGGTCAACTCACTCTCTTTCAACGACGAGCACAATACTCGGTACCCAGTGGCCAGGGGCCAGTTGATCCTAGCTATCGACAAAAGATCAACGCAGACTACGACAAGATTTGGGACAACGTCTGGTCCTCGAGTGTCGGGTTTGGCGTCCCAGAGGTGGCCCGCAAAGCGACCGACGCGACGCCCGAAGAGAGAAAACAGGCCTTTGAGGAAGTGTGGTCCCAGGGCAACGGGTTCCGCTTCATGTTCAGCGCTTTTGGCGACATCGTGACCAATGAAGAAGCTAACGAGGCGGCCTGTGACTTCATACGCGGAAAAATCGACGAGATCGTCAAGGACCCTCGTAAGGCAAACATTTTGAAACCGCGGGAGGCTTATGCGAGACGCCCGCTCTGCGACTTTGGATACTATCAGATCTTCAACCGCGATAACGTCGATGTGGTGGACCTCCAGGCGAACGGTATCAGACGTCTGGTTCCTCAGGGGGTCGAGCTAGCCGACGGGAACGTTCACGAGGTTGATGTGCTCATTTTCGCCACGGGGTTCGAGGCAGTCGACGGCAGCTACACGAGGATCCATGTGACGGGTCGAAACGGCACGTTGAAAGACCACTGGGGTGATGGAGCTACGACCTTTGGTGCCGTTGCTTGCGCTGGCTTCCCCAACATGTTTCTCATATCTGGGCCGCAGAGCCCTTTCGCCAATTTCCCTCCCGTCGTGGAGTTAGAGGTCAACTTCATCATGTCGATTATACAGTACGCCGAAGGCTCGCTTTCAGAAGCAGAGCCAACAGAAGGGGAGGGGGCCGGTAGCTTGGGCAAAGAAGCAGTCAATACACGTAGCCAAAGGAGGCGGATGATCATGGAGGCCAAGGGGCAAGCCGAGTCAGACTGGGTAGAGCTGTGTAATAGCATGCTGAAGGGGTCTCTATTCGCCAAGACTCCCAGTTGGATTTTGAGCCAGAACATTCCCGGGAAGAAGACCAACACTAACTTCTTCTTTGGCGGGCTGCGACCGTATCTGAAGTTTGTTGATGAAGAGGTCTCTGCAGGGTTTCCTGGGTTTCAACCATCAGTGGCGCAAGAGGATGTCGTTGCCCACCTGTGAGCTGGCATGAGGCTACATGTAGTGATTTCATGTAATTTTTGAGAGGGTGAATTGCAGTGGCAATTGAATACTGATAATATGGCCTCTACATGATTGGTTCTTTTCCATGTTGCAATTCCCCAAATCGTAGTTACCCAAGATGAAGCACCTTTAACCAGGGTAAGGTTTAACGGCCGACTTGGAGGTTTGTGCTGGTTACATGGTTGCCAGCGCATAACGCGGGCCAAGACATTCATACACTACCCGTACCTCTCCCTCACCAAAGCCCAGGACTTGCGCATCCCCGTCCCCATCGACTCGTCATCAATCTCCTCAACAGTAGCCCATCGATGTCGCGCATGCGACGAGACGAGGTCCTCAGAGCAATCTACCTCAAAGAGATGCACATGCATCGTAAGCTTCAGGTGTGAAAACAGCCATGGCACACTGCCCAGCTCCCCGGCATGTTTCAGCTTCCACTTCTTGTTTCCGCCACCGTTGATGAGTCCCGATACATATCCCTGAGCGTCCTTCTTCCGCGACGTCGCGGTGTTGCCGCTGATAGACGGCAGCATGTGGCTGGGCAACTCCCACAGCCCGGCGAGGAGTCCCTTCTCCGGGCGCCTGTGTATTAGGAATCGGCCGTCGTCGCTGCGCCAGACCGCGCAGACCAGGGCCTCTTCCTCTCTAACTGCCTTCTTGACCACCTTGAGGGGGAACTTTCGAGCGTGTTCCGCAACGATTTCTAGTGTTCTTGCATCGATTTGTGCAACCTTGGGCTGCGCTTCCTCCTCTTCCTCCTTCTTTTTGGCTGTCTTTGAGGTGAAGAAGGCGGACAACGTCGCCTGCTTTGGCCCCAGTTGCGTCTTTACGCCCTTCTTGGCCCCCTTTGCCGGCTTCCGCTTGAGCGACTCAGCTTCGGAATCTTCCTCAGAGAGCGTGGTCTCGTCTGCGCCTTCTTCAAAAGGTTCGCAAATCGAGCACAGGTCCTCAATATCCTCGACCTTTCCAGCTGCCTTCTTCGACTTCTTGGCTGCTATCTGCAAACCCTCTGCGTACGCCCGGCACGTGGAGGTGATGGGACACTCGCCGCAGCTTGGCTTCGGCGTGCAGACGGTGCTTCCGAGTTCCATCAAGGCCTGGCCCCACCGTCCAGGACGATCACTCAACGGCGCCTTCTCAGCAACCTGAGTGCCATCTCCGTCGGGTCCGTCCTTCGCAACCGCCTTGACAAGCGCATCTGCAGCTGCCCAGAGCAAATCAATGACAGCCTTGTCCGTCTTGGCATTCCCATACAGCCCCAACTGCCTGCTCAGCACGCGAAGCACATTCCCATCAACCATGGGCGCGGCCTCGCCAAACACAATAGCAGCGACGGCACCGGCCGTGTACCGGCCCACGCCCGGGACTTTGGCCTCGAGCTCGGCCGTTTCGGAGGGCATCAGACCCCGCCAGGCCGGGTCCGCGACGACCAGCTTCGCCGCCTCGTGGATCCTCGTGGCGCGGCTGTAGTAGCCCAGCCCGCGCCAGGCGCTCAGCACATCTTCAGGCTCGGCGGCCGCGAGGTCGTGGATCGTGGGCCAGCGAGCCATCCATCTGTTCCAGTAGTCGATCACCACGGCGACGCGGGTCTGCTGAAGCATGATTTCGCTGATCCAGACTTCGTAGGCGCGCTTTTCGAGGGCGCTGCGGAGGTCGGCGGCGTCGTTTGGCGAAGTCTTTGCAGGGTCGATCCAGGGTTTGCGCCAGGGCATGCCGCGGGTTGTGCTGATGGAGTCGAACCAGCTGAGGAGAGCATCGCGCCCGCACCGGCCTGTTTGGCCGTCTAGGAGGAGAGGGCGGTGGTAAGAGGTGGCGTGCGTCCTTGATGCGGTGGCCGAGCAGCAGGCATCTTGTGTTGCCCGCTGCTGCTGGGGTGGACCGAAGAGACGCGCATGGAGTTTGGCGGTGTCTGCTTTTCGAGCTTTGGGGTTCTTCTCGACCTTGCGCCTCTTCGGCGGCGGCTCAGTAACGTCCTTCACATCGTCGCCATCGTCGTCTTGAAGAGTTGGGTTGAAGTCTTCTTCCGACGCGTCCTTGGATGCCGGTGGTGATACAGGTGCACACTTTTTGGTGGCTACCGATCGTGATCTAGACGTCGGCTTCTTGTTTTCTACATCTGGCTCGCTGTCGACTTGCGCCAAGATTCTCTTGGCTGCTGCGAGTGAGCTCTGTCGACGGACTAGGCGACGTTGAATCATGGTGATGTTTGGGAGACGCGACGAAAAGACGCGTCGTGGAGTAAAGTGGTCCGAATTTCACTTCAGGTACATTTGACGGGTGAAAAGCAAATAATTAGCGTCGATTCAGGTACGCGTTCGCTGGAATTCAGATCGCAGCGGACAGTTAGGGGCCCTGAAGCGCCGCGGCTCAGGCACAGACCACTACAATCCAAGATGCACGCAAGACGTGGTTTTTGTTATGGACAACATGTTAAGCAGTGGCAAACTCTAACACTGAACATTTACAACCTCCAAGACATGCATCATGGAGCTTCGACTTCGGGCCCAGTATCCGCATAATCAGCAAAAGAAAAGGCATCATTGGAGCAAAAGATTCAGGTCCTACCAGGATTCGAACCTGGGCCTACGGAAGGATCTAATCATATTTCAATCAGAATCCGACGTCCTAACCAACTAGACTATAGGACCAGCTTCACAACGATTTTCGATGACGATGCCGCCGAATCTCGCCGTCCATGGAAGCTCGCTGCCGCGTCGTGAACCATCAGCGAGGTTTTGATAGCCTCCATTCGAGCAGCTGGGGACGTGAAGGTTCGGTCCAGGTAGCTTGAGGGACGGTACAGTCTCGTGATGACCCTTCGCTGGCACAGCTTGCCTTGGTGTTGGACTCCCTAGCTGCATCTGCCAGACAGACCGGGCATCGTGCCTCACTCTGTCCAGCCATCGCCAGCGCAGGTCATCCAGTTCACTCCAACGAGCTTCAGACCATGCTTGTCGGCGAATTCAGCAGGCTTCCATGAGCGCCTCTGCACAAATTCCTCTCCGCCGATATCCTCCTTCTTGAGATCCAGTCCTTGGGGTTCCCGGTAGAGCAGGAAGAGGTACCTGTGTGGCTTTGAGCTACAAGGTAAGGCAGGGTCAGCAAGGTCACTTTTGAAGGCTGTCAAAATCATTGAGACTGTCTGTCTACTCACTCGTCCTTGGGTCCGGGGCCGAGAAACTCAGTCAACGCCGGCTTCGTCTGCGCGACGACCGCGCCTCCACTAAGCGGCTGTAGCCCGGGTAGAACCCAATGGCGCCAGAACGCAAACTGCGGGTTGTCCGGGGTGGGCGCGTCCGGGTCTGTCAGGAAGAGGGTGTATGAGGCACCGGATTCTGCTCCCTCCTCGGCCGCGAACGAGATGCTGGGCGCAAGCTTGCACTCGCCCGCGCGGAAGAAGTTGCCCACATCGAGGGCCTTGTCAGCGAAAGAGACCTCGAGCTTGGTCGTCGGCTTAAAACCCTCTGGTATCAACACCTCCGCTGAGCCCGGGACGAGCTTGGCTTGCTCAAGCGTGCTGGTGAGCTTTTGCGCGTGGTCGGAGAGTGACATTGTGGCGAGGGAGAGAGAAAAGATGGGTTGAATGTACTGATGTAAAGTCAACTTGGAGGGTGAGATCGCGTTCTTGAAGGATGTTTTAAATGATCGCCTGTGGGCAATATTAGCCCGAAGACATGATGCGTGATGACCTACGCGGGGTTGAGCGTGGGATGAGGGGAATTGACGCCAGTGGTGGAAAATTGGTGGCGTAGCTGCACGAAGGGTCTTGGCAGATGTAGAGGTTCTCGTAGCTACATAGGTCAAGTATGACTGCGAACAAGATATTACGGGTCGAATCTTCCGCCGTAGGAGCTTGGTGGTCGCAATGGTGAAGATGACAGTCTCGTGAAATTGGGCGTTGTCTAAGAGACACCTCGAAAGAACCATGATCATGGTTGATGATAATAACATGAAGTCTTGTGCGCTCCATGATCGACCAGTCAGGAGCAGCCTCTACATCATGTACGGAGTAGAGCGAGAGTAAGGAAGAAAGTCGAACTCGATGTCTCATTAACATAGCTATTCCAGAATCCAGCCCTCCGTTCGAGGGGAAATCACCGAGATCCGAGAGATCAGTGGATGGGACAAACCAACCATCCATTGTTCATCAAGAAAGGCTATTCTCAGTGGGGGAGTTTGGCACGAAGTCTAACTTCGCGTACATCTTAGATCACCGCAATCCAGAACTTTTCCGTGAGACGATCTGAAGAGCTAGGGCAGATCCATCCTTGGCCATCTCAGAGGTTCGCTCCTTTGCGCTCTCTTTTTTTCCTCTTTCCCTTTCTGCCCACGCTGCTTGTATCGCGGCCACTTTGGCGATAGGAGCGAGCTCGGGCAGGAGCTTGGGCCAAGCGCGGGACGAAAAAAGCATTCCTTCTAGATCCCTTGCACGCCTCCAATTCATCATCCAATCATATCTCATATCCCCGATGGCACAATTGGCTAGCGCGTCAGACTGTTAATCTGGAGGTTGGTGGTTCGAGCCCACCTCGGGGAGTTGCAGCGGTTAAATCCCGCCTTGACATGAGACAATTTCTTTTTGCTTTTGCGTCTTTCTCTCTTTTCTTCCCCTTACAATTATGCCGAGGAAGCCGGAATGTTAAACGATGTTTCTCTTGTATCCATTCGGTAAACTGTGATCACAGACCAGCTCTGTCCTCCGACGGGACTACAAACATCTATTGGCCTGTTTTTTGCTTTGCCGCGTTGTAGATATATGGTCCGTTTTCTATGCGGCAAGAGTAAGCAATCATGATTTCGGCAGACTTTCAAGTCGTTCCTGGCAGCTTCGAAGGAACTTTCCAGAGACTGCCATACAGACAGGCTGATGATAGGCAGCAGGTGTGAATTGACTCTTACTTGCCATAACAATTAGGATCAATGACCCCGAGCCGGAGAGGAATCCGAGGTGCATTGCCTAAAGCATAATTAAGCGATCATGAGGGGTCAGTCGGGTGGGCGGCGTAATCGCATGGACCCTATGACAGCTCGAGCAAGTTCTATGGACCACGACCGCAAGACATGGGACGAAAAGAAGGTGATCGTTCCGGATGTTCCGCTCCAAGTGGTGATGATTGATAGTTGTAGAATGCATCTCGCTTCTAGGTTTCGTCTCTCGAATACTCGCATTTACTTCCCGTCCGAGGTTGGGCTGCTCGGAAAGAGTCTCTCCAAGCGCCCGCCAGCTAGCGCGTTGGACGTCAGTCCAGTCAATGATGATGAGGCCTCTTGAATCAAGGAACAGATGGAAACTTTCGAAGCTGGTAAAATAAGCTTTGATCGAGAACGGACAAAGTTGGGAGTGCCGGCTGGCAATGCAAGGCTGCCTGCGCCCGATGTTGAGATGGACTTTCTCTGCGCTGAGTAAGGTCGTGGAAGCTTGCTGCTGCAGAGCGAGCAAGATCTCCGGGTCAGACTAGACGTGTCTGTAGACGAGAAACTCCCATAACAAAATCAAGATGGACTCGAGGGGTAAGAGCTGAGCATTTGTAGTCTTTGAAGTGCACAGCTACTTTGGCTAAACGACTTGGCGTTAAGAAGCCCATCTTGGCACTATGGGTGCTCAACTTGGCGTTGACAGCTTGAAGGCTGGAGCTAGAGGCTGTTACGGCCCAGAGAGTTGGCTCACGGCATGGCAGACAGTCGATCTCGGGAGATGTCTGCAATGCAACTGCATCCCACCTCCCGCACTTGCCCGCCGCGGCGCCGCCATCTCGGTCCCGCATCTCAGTCAAGCCAAGTTCCCCGACCTCAACTTTCACCATGAGTAAGGACCGACGATCGTACACGCGTCTTACCGTCCCCCATGTTCACGACACACCGTTGAATCAAGGTTTGATCTAGGTAAATGCAGCCCCTCAACCGCTAACCCGATTTTAATGTCCGAGCCGCCGCGATTGGAAGACTACGCCCTTAACTCCTTGAGCCTCTCGTACCCTCCAGTCGGAACTCATGAGGGAACTATCTTGCGTCTCAACTCTATTCTCCATCAACTATCATATGATACTCGAAGTGGCTACTCCATGGCCACAACGAAAGCGACGCCGAGGCGGATTTCCCATGTCATGGGCCGTGGCAGGCAATTTTCACCGGCATCCCGTGCAACCCCTCGTCGTCGGCGGAACCTTCTTTTGACTTCTTGTCAACCCCCTTGAGAAAGAGGGGCAACGCGGGGTAGCTTCGTTGAGTAGCCGGCGAGACCGCCCGAAGAGCAAAGCACCATGTGCAAGCCTGGCCTGTTACGCTCAACTTGCACCTGCACTGTTCAAGGTCTTTGCGCCTAAAATTACAACTCCGGTGTCTGTGAGCCCAGCAACGTCAGTTATGATCGACACTATCCTTGCTTACACCCTGGACAAGCTCTCTTGAGTTGGAGCTATGATCCTGGAGCAGCTAGGTCGAGCAGCTTGGGTTCCTGACACACATTCTCGCTATCCTAACCGGAATGTCCCATCGGTCTAGTTGGCCATGGTAATTGAAACCATTTCTCAATATAGGTGAGTTGACTCGCAAGGAGGACGTTGAAAGGAAGTCTTGTGCAATTGCCCGCACGGCTCGGAGCAGGATCTTCGCATGCTACGTAGTCGGAGACCGAGGCTCTGAGGCTGCCATACACAATGCTGCACCCACACACCCACGTGTAAGAAGCTTTCGCCGTGCCGGGACAATGATCTGCAGAAGGATCGGTCACCCTGGAACCCTGGCTCAAAAATGTCAACCCAACAACATGGAAATGTCATTGACGAACGACATGCGATTTGAAACAGTGTACTTCGGATCATTTAGATGAGCTGGTGGAGACCAGACGCGTTTACGTTTACGGTGCAGCTTTTTCCACAGCTTACAAGCAGAATCTTCTTTAAGCTCGTCTTCCTATGCTGTAAGATTTTGTATGGTTTTCGAACCGAATCGAAAAACCGACGGCTGATCGTTTTGCATGAATCAATGATACTCGACATATTCCCAGTTACGGTGAAAGGGTCGGTGAAAAGTCTCCGCGCTAGTATCATGAAATAGTGTTTGCTCCATGTCGAGAATCAATTCTTCAGCTAGGTCTAGGAGATGAGGAGAATTGTACAAATCATGGAGCTATCCGAATGGCATGTTCTAAGCTTCACACTACGCTCCCTTGTCCGCGTGAATATCTCCTCAAATGGACCGACTCCTGCGCGAAAACGGCAAATTTGACTTCGACTCCACTACTAGGAAGAGGGGTGAAGTTGGACATCGTCCTCCAATTCACGATCAAGTAAGCTTGTTGCCGTTATGCGCAGCATGCAGACTGGCCTTAATTACACATGACGCTTGCGTAAATCAGAAGCTTGCTTTCTGGCGATAAGCAAGTCGGTTCCTGGATTGCCCCTTGATTCTAGGCCGCATCTAGACCCAGTCTCAACCAGGCTCTCATCCTGGTACCCGACAATCCTTGGATTTTCATAGGCGGCACGGCTTTACCCATGATATTGCCGTTCGGAAAAGTCAAAGGTGAAATTTGCCATGCCAAGTTTATTTCAAGCTCGGCGCCAACAACCTCAAAAGTTGACTCAACGATTACGCTAGATTCTCTAAGCGGATCTTCTCATATCCCGAAGGAGGCCGACGGAGTAGGATAGTGATCATGAGATATCGACGCCGAGGTGCAGAGGTCGATTTGGGTAGTCTTATTCGTATCTCTTTTCAGGAGTTCTAAGCGAGTAGTCGTCCCCTAATACTCATTGTTGTCTACCAGTGAAAAGTATAAAGACCTAGCAATATCCCTTTGTAGTTCGCCGTACTAACTATATCACAAGCCAACTTGACTGAACCTTGGCCGGTCAATGAGTCTTTCTCTCATACCTGTCTATCAGCTACCCTTGTACCAACATCAGCGATCAGATTATATCCTACTGCTCTTTCCCGCAACATCTAAAACATGCGCTTTCTCGTCACCATCACTTTGGCCATATTAACGGCCGGTGTAACCGCAGTACCCGTCGCGGTGCTCCCCAGCCTCATTCATCCCCCAGTTCATGTCTTCAGGGCTGACCCTGCCGCCGAAGCTGCCGATGCGGAGCCCAATATCGAGGCCCGTGGAGAGAACATTGTTGATGTGTCTGACTGGCAGCAAGAGCCAGAGATACAAGCCAGAGACGAGGCCGCGATTGATGCATGGGACCTGGAGCCACAGACCCAACCGCAAGACGCCCCTCATATCCAAGCCAGAGATGAGGCCGCTCTGGACAACGGCAATCTTGAGACTGATATTGAAGCCCGAGAAGAGCCTCAGATCAAAGCCAGGGACGAGGCTGCACTCGACAACTACAACTTGGAACCCGAGGTCCAACTCAGCGACAAGCCTCAGATCAAGGCCAGAGATGAAGCTGCTCTAGACAACTTCGACCTGAAGCCCGAAATCCACACTGGAGATGAGCCTCATATCCAAGCAAGAAGCGAAGCTAAGGCTGCATGGATTGACCCAGACTACCACGCTGGAGGCGTTACCACCGCAGACGACTGGAAGTACAGAGACAACTTAGCCAAGCTCGATGCCAACAACTGCGGCATTGATTGCCATCACTCCCTCGACTCGTACCGCTCCAAGGTGTCCAGAGAACACAGGCCATACTACGACCGAAGCACGAATTACCACAGCAACAACTACGACCACCATGACTACAATTATGGAGTCCAAAGATCTTCCCGCGCTTCGAGGGGCGAACACAACACACCCGCGGATGACTGGAAGTACAGGGACAACCTCGTCAAGCAGGATAACCACGATTGCGGCTCGGGCTGCAAACATTCGCTAGCCTCGTACCGCTCCGTGGCGTCCAAGGATTCAAGAATTGCTCGGGAGAAGGACTATCATAACTACAACCACCAGGATGACAAGTACAACAACTGGCATCCCAAGGACTATCATGTGAACGGCAACGGTTATAACCATAACAACGGGCATTATGACGATAGGACCATCAGGACCAACACCTACTATCCCAAGGACCATCATCCTACCAACTATAATGATATCCATCACAATGATTACCATGGCAACAATTACCATACCAACGGCAACGGCTATGACCACCACAACAATGGCCACGATTATGGAGTTCAGAGGTCGTCGAGGGCGTCGAGAGGAGAGCACAACACCAGACAGGATGAGATAAACCACAAAAACAATCATTACAAGTTGGATCATAACGACTGCGGCGTCAACTGCCACAAGTCTCTTGCCTCGTATCACTCGGTTGCATCTGCAGACTCGAGGCGGTCCAGGGAGTCAAGGCAGTCAAGACAATCGAGGCAATCGAGGCAATCGAGGCAATCTCACGGAAACCACGGCCACTGAGGATTGAAGAGTTACTGTCGTTTTGATGGTTGGAGACGCCGATTACCAACATGATTTGAGCTGGAGACAGATTTTGACGCTGCGAAGTACCGGAAGCTACCGCGATGCCTGATGTATCAAGCACATGAGATAATGATGTGGTGAAGTTAGTGTAAATGGAGCTTAGGTAATTGCAAACTAGTCGTCAATGTGTTAATAATAAAAGGGAATTGATGCAAGGTGCCAATGTGTCTTAGGGAGACTGCAGGAAAGTGATGCATGCCAGTGTTGTCCGTCGGTTACAATGGATTGATTACTTTATGATATCGGTGGGGAACACCAGGAAACCTTCACCATCGAATGTGGCTAGGCTGAGCACGCTGGAATTAGTTGCGGACAGACTCAAACTTTAACATGAATCACGCGGTCGAGCTGCCGCCGTATTGTCGTATAGAATGTTGACAACCTCCCGGAATACGACGTATTCGTGTACGGTATGTCACCAGTAGTGGACCTTATTTCCTCCTCGTCCACAAACAATCGCAATTCGACTGATTTCCAATTCTCACCAATTACCCTACATGACTGACCGACAATGAATACAACTCGCAAAAGACTAGGCCATAGAAAATCGCGGAACGGATGTGCTCGCTGCAAGGCGCGGCACGTGAAGGTATGGCCAAATTCCTCACTCAAATGATTTCACATCCTTCCCGGAACCTGCTGGAGTGATGATTCGAAGACTGACGTCGAGGTATCTCAGTGCGATGAGCAACGTCCTTGCGCCAATTGCATTAAGTATGGTCATACGTGCAGCTTAGTTAACGAGCCTGGGCCACAGTCCCCGACGTCAAGTGACTCCACAGTCACAAGCCAAGGACGGAAGCCGATGCAAAGTGCCGATCCGGGCCTTCCGACTCCGGAAGGGTTGCCGACATTGTCACTTAGCAGTCCGGCGAATAGAGAGAATTATACACCTCCTTTTGGGACCTGGACGCAAAACATGCGCCTGCTACACCACTACAACGTCGTCATCTGCCACATTCTCGAAGATGAGGAATCTACGGCTGTGATATGGAGAGAAGTGGTCCCAGAAACAGCGTTCTCTCACGTATGGTCTCCCCGGGTACCTGGGCTCGACTCATTTCATCGTTGACCGCAGAACAGGACTTTCTGATGCACGGCTTGCTTGCGTTATCTTCGCTCCATTACGCTCAAACTCACCCTGCTCTGCACGATGAGTTCGCACTAATCTCATCGCAATATCAAGACGTTGCTTTACAAGCATTCGCGGCTAAGCTGCAAAATGCAAATGAAGGCAGCTTTGAGCCTTACTTCTTTCTTGCGACATTTCTCTTCATCATTAGCATGTGCTCTATCACAGGACAACACGATCCGGACACTGTCATCGCCCCCAAAGATCTTGCGCAGTCCTTCATGCTGCTTCAGGGCATCAAGAGCATATTGGTTTTCAAGCCGGTAGAGACATGTTTCCAAGCCGGACCGCTAGGGCCTCTTTTTGGACATATAATGCCGTTACCCATCGATCACACAGGTCCTTTCCAGCGTCGCTTGGACCAACTCTTCAAGCTCACTCGAGAGCTAAGCCCAACATTTGAGGCTATGGATGCCCAATCCTCGTGCCTGCTGGCCATCGAATCGCTTAGGACTACTTACGCCGCGTGCGCAGCCGATCAAACCACGACCCGCGCGCGTCGTATTTGGCTGTGGCCAGTTTCTTTACCCTCGTTCTTTGTTGATTTAATCAGCAACCATCATCATGTTGCCCTCATTATCCTGGCCCACTATGCTGCCTTTACCAGGCCGTTTGAACATCGGCAATGGATGAACAAGGGATGGAGCTCCAAAATGATGGCTGCAGTTGAAACTGCATTAGATGAGCAGTGGCGAGCATGGGTCGATTGGCCGAAGAGATCGATCGTAGAGCAAATTGACGTGGATGAAATGGGGTTATTTGAAGAGATTTGAGAGTTGAATTGCGTCTATAAAAGAAAGGCAATATAAATAGTACTACACGTCTACAATGGTGGATTTCAGTCGTGGCGTGAGAGGAATGAGGTTTACTCATAACCGCGTTTGGTACTATGAATTGACATACATAAATATATGTGCTAACTTTACTAATGGCTGTGGGCTATCTTTGAGACTTGTGAGAGGACCACATAATACACATAATACAGGTACCTGACTATATGAGACTCTGTGGAGCTGCGTTATGACTAGGATAACAATTCTGTGGCATTCCAGAACCCTCCTTCGTCTCCTATTTCATCAGCTCCGTACTCTTATCTCTCCATAGATGAATAGATCTGATAATTCAGATGAGAGAAGGGAGACCAATACAATCACTGAGCGTACCTTATCAGAGGCGGCTGACGTCAAACTTTGTCCTCAGTCTCTCCCCGTACCGCGAGAGTAGAAAGGGTACAGGAATCAAAGCGGCAGCAATGAAACCAAGCATTGCGTTTCCCCAGCCCAGGCCCAGCGCATTATACATTTTCATTCCACAGAGGGGAAGAAAAGCACCTGCGAGAGACCTGATAATGATGTTTGCCGCAAGCGCCGAGGCGGCATATAGCTCGTATGCGTCGACCAGATAGGTGCAGATTGCCATGAAACTGATGAGATTTCCTGGGGTTGGCGTTTTTTTGTTAGCAAAGATGTATGCTATCCTTAAGGGATTCAGAGAGGCTTACCAACACCAATAAGGGCCAAGCCGATGATAGGCGCCATGAATTGGACCCTGTGCTCTGCAGTCCATCCGTAAACGAAAAGTCCAATTGGAAACACAACAGCAGCGACTGGTAGCAGTCTCAACCGAGTTTCTGGCTTGATTATCGGCTGGTCTTTGGATACCCGACTGCTGTCTATAGCGAACCAGGTCATTCCAGCAAAGGCTCCGACTCCAAGCCCTAGATAGACCAAGCCGACCATTTCGGTTGAGAACCCATAGAAGTCTTCAAACACGTAGGGAACGGATGTGAAGAGAATGTAAATGTAACCGTACACGATGCCCAGATAAAAAGCCAAGATCGTGCAGATTGGCGAAAAGACCAGCAGCTTGATCGGCCTTACAACGCATTTCCTAAAAAGCCCATTAGTCGTGATACCGGTGTCGAGTCTTGAGCGAAAGCGCCCGTCCCCGGTCTCTTGTCGCAACCTCCTTGCTTTTCGCTCAAGAATCACCGGAGAATAGGTCTCCCTGAGGGTAAACAGCATTGCGACGCAGATGGCGCCAGCCAAAATGACAACGAGCCAGAAATCCCAGCGCCAACCTTTGGCATCAGTAAGGAAACCTCCGATAATGGGTCCAATAATTGGCCCTATTAGTGGCCCTACGGAAAATACAGCCATGACGCCTGCCCGTTCTTCGGCACGGAACATGTCGGCGATGCTGCCTCCCCCGTTGGTCATGGGAGCGGCGCCGAAAGTGCCGGCCAAGAAACGGAAGACGACTAGGGAGCTAAGAGATGGTGCCACAGCGCAGGCTACGGTGAATGCCAGGAAGATGAAGTTGGTGATGTGGTAGATGGCAACGCGTCCCCACATCTCTGATAGAGGCGCCAGAACCATCGGGCCAAAGGCGAAGCCAAGCACGTAGACGGACACAACAAAGGCAGACAATTCTCTGTTGGTGCTGTTGAAATCCTGCATGAGCTTTGGAATGCCTGGTGCAAAAATTGAAGATGCTAGCGGCTCGATGAGAGTGAGCAAGCTGATCAATCCGCAGTTGACTAGTTTCTTCCATCTAGGCCAGTTGTGCGGGTTCTCCGGATCCTGGTCGTTGTCCCACCAAACCAAATGGCACTCATCGGTTCTTGTTGCGAAAGGGTCACCGTCGCTTGCATTCATGCCGCTTCTCTCTTGGTTCTCCAGAAACTTTGGTGCAACAATTGCTTGGGAAGGCTCTGCCGCTTCCGTAGCGTGATTATGGGCTGAAGGATGTAAGTGTAGGTGGGTGGGAGTCGAGCAATCTTCGATTGTAGGAGGCATCATCTGCTCAAATGGTTATTGGCCAGTCTATCTTTGAGAGTTTTCGTTCTGTAGTCAGATCTTACTGTCTTGCGATAAGCTTTTGTTATTTGTTGTCTACCTTATACTTTGTCGGTCAGAGGGGGAGGGGGGATGGGGGTTGCAGTCGGCGGCCGGCCTAATGTTTGACGAGGATGAGAGGGTCTTTCAGTATTTATCAACTGAAGATGAGCGCTAAAAAACATGATCTTAAGGATCAGGTAACCGGCTTTGATATGATCACTATAAATCTCACATATCAAGTGTACTTGCACAAGGTTCTAGGTTTCAATAGGTGAACACGGTCGGTCTCGGATGGGCTCGTATGCCTTACGACGTACGCTCGTATAACTCGTTCGACCCCCGGACTCTTTCTTCTCAATTCGCATACTCGCTCAAAACCCGGATCCGACCTTTCAGTCAACACGTATTCTGTTACTTCAGATATTGGTCATGTATCAGTAAGGTAAGTACCTAGCTAGGTAGTATTAGAGCAATCATCATGCACGACAAATAGATTTGGATCCGCTTTGATGCCTAATCCAATCTGGGTTTTGAGTACGGCAGGCTTACGAAGCATATTGGTTTCGTGAACCAATACGAGGTCTCGCTTTCCCGAGCCCCGTCTACGGCGCTTTGCAGCATGAAGTTGTGCCACATTAACTACGAGGATACACATCATCTCTCGAACAATCTTTTACAGGATGAGAGGTGTTTATAGGCTCGGAAAGCAGGCAAGGACAGGGTTTCATCTTCGATATAATGGCAAACGACACTTATAGGCTAAGGAGGTAAAGTCAGGCCTTCTCTGTATTGTTGCTGTCATAAGTGCAACACATCGCTCATCATTGCATAATGGCCCATGGAATGAACATAGAAATAGACACCTTTGAGTTGGAGAATAAAGCCTTTCATGAACCCAGGCCTTGATATTAGGATCCTAATGCAATTTCGGGGAGTTTCTGTGTCTCTCTCACATCAACTTGATGAGACTTGAGGTAGCACCGGGGTTGTGTTGTGGACGACTGCACCCAAGTTCCGAAGCAAAATATACTATGCTGAGATCCAGCCAACGGATTCCTTCTTCATAACTATATGATATGTACATGGCTACGCTTCAGTAGCGAACTTGGCTTTCTAGCCCGTGTCATGGTGCAGCTATGGCTTGCTCGCTGCCTTCAGCATCAGCGCTAACGCATGTTGTCCGAAGGATCACATTCGAGATTGATTCGAGTGTTGTTGGCAGGGAAAGGAATTCAGAAGGTGGCCTTGGCCGCTGCGAAGAGCCCTTTCACCCACCTAATTTCTACCAACGGAGGAATCATAGGCTATGCCCACCAACTTCCCCTTTCCATACAACTACGCACTTCAAGACCATATTATCGAGTTTCCTACCGGCCGAAAGGCTTTCCCTGCTGACGTGTATAACAAGAAGATTCTCTCCAGGAGAGTTGCGCTGCATGGCTATCCTGCTCACCGGGGAAGCGACCAATACCAGCAACACCACTCTCTCTTCACGACAACTCAAAAATAATTGATACAGAGCAAAAGATAGACTCCTCGACGGATCCATTCGTCTCGTAGCATGAATACTCATGAGGCCAACTTATTGCGGCTAATCAAGTCTCGTCGCCCTCAACGGCGGCCGCCTCCGCTGCCTCCGCCTCCTCCGCCATTCTTCTCTTCTTGGCAAGCTTCTCCTTGTTGTCGTATGCCCTCTCGGCGGACCGCTGGCGCTTCTTCAAACTGAATCGACTGTCCATCTCCGCAAACATCATCTCCGAATTGGTCACGTCCAGTAGCTCCTCGGCCAATTCTCCTCCGTTGATGCTTCCTCCAGAATCGACATCAGTACGAGAAGAGTCGCTGCATTGATAACTCTTTCCGGAGTTCTCGTCGTCATCATCCAACACCTCCATCCAGAGGACTTCGTTTTCGTCAGAATTCTGCTCGCGGGCCAAAAGGGCATAGCCCTTCTGGTCTGCGAGGTTATCTTTGAAGTCCTCGAGCTCCTCGGTCGTGCGAAAGTCACCTTCTTCCAAGGGGGAGAGCTCTCTTCCGTCGTCGGTATCCTTGCCACTGTCGTTGGACGACGAGAAGGTGACGCTTTCCTCTTCATCTCCTTCGTCATCTGCGCCATATTCCTCGTCTTCGTAGTCCACGCTCTGCTCCACATAGTTGACTTGGGTCTTCGCGGCTCGGACATCTCGAGCGCTCTTGTTGCCCTCTGTGGACAGCAGCGCGACCCTAGACTCCTTGGGCAGATTGCTCTCGCAAGTCGGATTGGATCCCATTCCCTGCATCTCCTCAAAAGTGTGAACTCTTGCGCAGGTGCGGGTGATTGATTCCGTCTCGCGCTGAAGCTTGCGCCTCATGAACTCCTTGCCGGCCTAGAGATATATTAGTCGGTGTCACTTTGAGACCTAGGTAATCAAGGCGCCTCGTACCTCCGTCTCCGCAACCCATGCCTTCAACATCTTGTTGCGAGCCTCGACGGCCAGTCTGAGCCTTTTGTTGACTGGCATGTTGGCGCTGTAGGGCAATATGCTTTCGTAAACTATTGTCGTGTGCGAGAGACGAGTGATGTGACTTGGAAAAAAAAACCAGAAAGCGCAAGGAGCTCGAGAAGCAGAAGGACCTACAAAGGACCTGGCGTGCAACAGGTTCTCCGTGAGATGATATGGCGGCGCAAAAAAGGTAAGACGGCAAAATCGCGAAGCTGTTGATTGTATGAAGCAAGAATTCTCAAGACGCAAGAAAGGTAAATAAATCAAACTGAAAAGATTTCCGAATCCCTCGTAATGCGTGAGGGCGATTGGCCGCGAAGGTAAGCTTCCATCGATGAAGGTTAGAAGAAAGAAAAGAAGCTCGTGAAGTGAGAAGCGCCGCTGGGATGGGCTGCCTCCTGTACGTACATATCCAGTCGGGCAGGAAGGCGCCGGCAGAGCATCGCGCCTTCCCCTTGTGCCTTCCCTTGTGCCTTCCCTTCTACCAAGAGTACTTCGGGGGCGCTACTTCGGAAAATCGGCGACTCTGATACGTACCGCCTCGACTCGGCAAATCCCACAGCAAGAATATTTTACTCTGGAAAAAAAAAGGGAGTTTCGTTTTTACGACGAGCCTCTAACCCGCTTCTTCTTCTCGCGAGAACTTCCCCCTTCCCAGAATACGAAACCCTTGAATCTCATCCGTCAATCTTCAACTGATAAGGACATTGCCCTCAGGGCCGTATCTACTCCTTTTCAATTACATCAATTCTTGTCTCGTTCTGCCACGCGGTCCCCCCCGGCCCCCCTCGATGTAGCAAAGGCATTCGAATCTTCCAACGGTCGTTATCCTTTCGTGTTTTCATCCCGAAACCACATTCAAGATGGCTCCCTCCGTACTATGCCTCGATTCCCCTTCGAGGTGAAGAAGGTAAATGTTTCTCGGGGCGTTTCCCGTCGAGATCACAAACCTGTCTTGTTCCTGGGAATTCCCCGTCGACATTGGGGCGGACGTTGGAATATCTCGACACCCGGCTTACCCCGGGACGGTACGCCACACTGCAGTACGGTATTGGGTGCGCACGGACTCTTCGGCAGAGCAACGTACCTTTTTCGGTGTCCACATCTCCGGTTCCAGTGGAACACTGCACCTCACCTTCCTCTTGTCTGAACAGATCAACAGCGATTCCTTCTCATTCCTCTGCGAAGACACCAACGGCAGTCGCGCGTGCCATCTCACCTGCTGTTCTGCGTTACATCCGCAGACAGACAAGCCAGGTCATAGGAAGGACCTTTCAGCCCACTGCCCCTTCACCCGCTTCGACTTTGATAGACCTGTCACTTGACCAAGTCTCTGGAGGTATATACCATTATCACTTTCTGAATAATCATCTACATTGTCCTAGAGCCATAGGCCAGCAACGATGCGCGATAGACTCGCGCAAGGTACGCACGCCATCTAAGGTAGAGAGAGGCCAGAAGGGCATTCCCCTTTCCTCTGAGAACCTCCTCGAGGCACTGAGGCTCAAACTTCCATATCCTCGTCATCGCCATCCTCACCCTCCTCTACGCCGCCCTTCTCATCGCCCTCGTCCTCTTCCTCAATCTCCAGCTCGTCAACATGTCCCTCGCAGGCATGGACCGCGCGGAGAATGACTCCACCGTACAGGCGCTCGTAGTCCTGCGCAATGTTCCGATAAATGGCCTCGATATAGGCCCGGGCCGCGTTGTATTCGTGGCAGTTGGCGAGCTTGTTGAGGGCCTCACCTAGGGGAATGAGGCGGGGGAGGAACTTGTAGTCGAACGCGCGGGCAGCGCCCTGGTTGATCGAAGTGGCCGCGTCCTTGAGGAGCTTTCGAATCGACTCCAGGTCTCTCTTCACCATAGTGAGGGCGGCGTCGCGCTTGATTGGCTTCTTGGCCGTGTCGCTCGCGGTCGGCGCGATGCCGCAGAACAAGCCGGCGGCGGCGTCATGGGCAGACTTCACCCGGTGTCCCCACGCCTCGTCCTGGACGTCACCCTCGGCACCGCCCAGGATCACGACCATGCCGAGGAAGGGCTTGACTGTGGCGTACTCGACGACCACAGAGTTCTTGAGTTGGTGGCGGAGCGCATAGCCAACGCGGAACAGCAGTTCGACGTCAAGTGACTCAGATACTCTGGCGATACGGAAGAGTTCCGGCCACAGGTTCTAAGGGGACATGTCAGCCGGGCGTCTCAGCGGTTGAAGCGGGGTAAAAGGCCAATGACCTTTGGGGTCGACATGACATACCTGAATCTGTACGAGGGCTAGCTTGGCGGCGTCGCGCTCAAACGGCTCGTCGACACAGAGGAGTTGAATGATCCCATGGTTGGCCGCAGTCGCTTCATGGCCCAGCGCCAGGCCCTCGGCTTCGGCAATGATCTCCTTGACGATCGAGGGGTCGTCGACGGGAGCCGAGTCGAGCTTGGCCGCAAGACGCGCCAGGCGCGCCTTGGTCGAAAAAGTCTCGCCCGGAATGGCCTTGTAGATGACCTTGTTCTTTCCGGAATTTGACTTGTCGGTACCGTTGTCCTTGGCCTCCCCTTGGACCTCTTGGGCCCACGACGGATCGGTGACAGCGCCGATACGGGCACCCAGAGACCGCTCTCTCACTTTCTTCGTGCCTTCTTCCAGGTCCATGAGATGCTGATTGAAGAAGACGCGACCCTTGCTGCTGGGTATGTTCATCGACATACACACGCCCTCCTTGTCAGGGTTGACGAGACACATGGCCTTGGCCGCCTTGCCATGCCGGCCAATCTCGTAAGCAACGACAGACACCTTGTCCTGAAAGTCGCTCGCCAGCAAGGGCTTCTCGCGCATCTCGGCCGGCTTGCCGAGCGAGACTTGTGCCTTGAGCTGCGGGATGAAATATCCAGCAGCAACCACCAGACTCTCCTTGGCCTCGATGGCCTCGATTATACGCTTGTTCGTGGCCTCAAGGTTATGGGGGTCGATGGTGAAGACGGGCTCCAAGCCGAGCCTAAAGATGGACTGAAGCGTCTCGTACGTGGCCTCCACTTCTTTATCTGACTTGCTCTGCATGTGCGTCAGGCCCGACCTGACACGGTACACCTGCATGGCTGAGCCAGAATCTTCGAGGCCGTCGTCAAAAGCCGCACCTCCGGTAGAGAAGGTGTAGTTGGACTTGACGTCCATCTTCTCGGCATTTGCTCGCTGCTTTCCAGGCCTCACCATTATGTGGCTAGAGTACTATGCCCTATCGCGTCAGTTACGTCTTCTTCCGGATCTCTTCATAGATTCAGGGTGTCGCCTCTCATTGCGCCAGTGCTCCATAGATTGGAAACGGGAGGAAGAAGAAGAAGAAGAAGAAGAAGAAGAAGAAGAAGAAGAAGGGAAATCAAAGGACATTGCTCTTACCGGTCGATTGTGTATAATGTTCTCGTGTGTCAGTTAGTCGCTGAGAGAAAGCGCTTGTTGTTGCTATGGAGGCCTGTCCGGGATGGAGTAGACACTTTTGATGATCAGAGAAGACGTGAATCTTCTGCTTGTATCGGACGAGGTGTGTTGAGCGAAGGGTTCAGTTCTATCTGATTGACCGAAGGAACGATCCACTGCCTGAGAGGCGTCCGTTTACTCCGTGCTAAGCGAGCTGTGAATCACTCTCTGGGCGGATTCTCAGTACAACGCGTTTGCTAGTGCCTAAGGTTTGTCAATCTCACTTCACCTCGCGACCTCGAGGCCTTTCAATTTTTTCGTCCTTCACCTCCGAGGAGCACACGCGCCAACTTCACATATTTTCTGTCCCCATCACTTTATTTTACACTCTACTTCGTGGGCGTCGCTTTCAGTCGTACCTTTGGTCACTATCTGGTCTCAACGTCCTAAGAGTCGTCGAGAACCTTACCCTCCCTCTCAATGCTCATAGCTACATTCCGCCGACTCCGTACCGACCTTGTGAGTGTCGTCAGATTCATCAACCTCTCAAAAAGAGACCACCCATGTCACATTGATCTTGCTAATGTACATTGTCCTCAGTCCCCCAGACCTCCGATCATGAGACCCAAGAAGAAATCGGGCACATTATCGAATGCGCCCCGACGGCCCAAGAGCGCCTTCGATACCCGTCTGCCTTCACAGGACGGGCTTCTAGCGCGTGTGGTCTTCGACGCCAAGAAGCTGCTCGCCCTTCAAATGGGCTTGGAGTTTGATAATTCGAGCGAGAAGGTCGAAGCAGTCGATTCGCAGGCAGGTCGTGTTGCCCTTTTGATACACGAGGCCGACGCCCATTATGAGCCCGCCACGTCGTACACGACGGCGGCCGACAGTCTCCAAACTCGAATTCTTCGTCGGAATGCTTCGGTCAAGCTGTACAAGAAAGGGCTTTGCCCTTTGAGTCCGAGCCCTACCGTCAGCAACGGCGAGGTCATTGTTCTTCCTGACCAGAGTATCCACGAGACTTTCAGCTTCGAGTCAGCAGCGAGAGACATGGCCACACTGGCCACTGGCTTGATGCAGGATTTCAAGCCAGGAACCGCGATAGTTCATTCACAAGCGATAGAGGAGGACAGAGACGCGTTCAGGGACACTTTCGAGATGGCCATGGGCCACGCGGCAGGTCTGATGAGGGCCCGCCGGTCGACATCATCTCGCAGAGCCGTCAAGGGGCTGACAGACTCCGACGTTGACTCTAACGAAGATGTCACGGACTATGATACCGAAGAAGAGGCCGAGTTTGACTCAGCTGATGGTAGCGATGACGCTGATGATGAAGACGACCTGGATGAAGCCGATGATGGAGATGATGAAGATAATGGAGATGACGTCGAGCCACAACAAACCCAGAGCGCCGCAGACAATCTCAAGGCCGTTGAAGAAGACTTCGTGGACTCGGAGGAGCAAAAGGGACTAGCAGGTCAACCCATTGAGAAGCTGGTAATCGGGAACGTTTCTGGACAAGGCTCCGACGAACCATTCGTATTTGTCACGGTACCCAGCTTTCTGGTCAAGTACATTGCCCTCGGAGTACGTTTTCTGGCCCAAAGAAACTTAGTCTTGTTGCTAATTCTTACTTATGGTTAGGTCTATATTCGCGGAGACTTCCAAGAGATGGACAAGTTCCGCCCCAGCCCCAATCTCGAGACAGTCTTGCGGCCATGGCAGCAGGAGGGCGCCGAGCTGCTGAGCCACATGCTCAATGGACCTCTACGAGGCGCGGTCCTAGGTGATGGAATGGGACTGGGCAAGACCTTGACCAGCATCAATGTCACTTTACGCGATCCAAACGAACCATACGAAGGACCGGTTCTAGTTGTAGCGCCCAAGGCCGTCCAGTCCACGTGGTTGGACGAACTCTCCTTTCACTTCCAACAGGTAAGGTGTTTCCATCGCGCGACAAAGCCCAGATACGAGTATCAAGTTGCTGACACAATGGCAAATCAGCTCAAGGGGCCAAGGGTATTTGTCCTCAAGGGCAGGAATGTCTCTGCGGCCGAGATTTTCGGCAACAAATACGACTTTATTATAGTTAGCTATAACTATGTCGTGGGCGCCAGCCAGGATCTCGACTTCGCCGAGAACACTGCACAAATTCTCAACATTGAAAGAAGCCAGCGGCGTATGGCAAAGGGCATTGTTCTTCCAGTCAAGTACCGGCGGCCTTGGCGAGTCGGGTTTCCACTCTGTGCCGAGACGATGGATGCATTCGGGCTCCAATTCCCTATCATTGTGCTGGACGAGGCGCACAAGGTGAAGAACCATTCCTCGGAGACGCATATTGCGATACGCAATTTGAAGTATTCCAAAGTCCTGGCAGTCTCTGGAACGGCCTTCCCCAACAAATGGCACGACATCTACGGCATGATAGACTTCCTTCCCGGCAACCCTTTTGAATCCTTTGACCACTTCGTCAAGTGCTTTTCGACACTGATCAACGGGCGCCCCGGTAACACTTGCGAGACGGATGAGATTTTGGCCTTCTTGGATTCATTCTTCGTTGCGAGGCCCCAGAGCGTCATGAGTCTCCGAGGCTTAGAGGAGCATCTAGTCGAGGCTCCTTTGAGCACCGGCAAAAGCATCTCGATCGCTCTTCTCGCCGATGAATTCTACCGCTTAGCGCGAATGCGCTCCGACAACGACGAAGACAATGATACCACGGCGGCCTTCGCAAAGGCGGTGGAAGCAGAGACGTTGGCAATCTCTGATCTCCTATCTCGTGAAGATCGCGAAGAGGATACTAAGCCCTACGAGGACTGGTGCGAGAAGAAGGGCATTGTACCCGCGGACGTGAGCCCTGACCAGCTACTGGAATGGGTCGAACGAGCGGGACGTAGACCTAAATTGAAGCGCAAGCCTCGCAAGGGTAGAAAGACGGCCCCAAAGAGCACCCGGGCAAGCCTCGACGGCGACAATTCTGACGACCCAGACTTTGTCGCCGGGCAGACAGAGTACCATGAAGACGATGGCAATGACGAGATGGAGGAGAATGACGAGGAGTACTGCGAAGAGCAGACAAAAGGTCGCGGAGGCCCCAAGCGTGCGCTCTGGCTTACCCGCCTGCGACAGACGCCTCCCTCGGAGTTCGTCAATGAACCGCGCATCAAGGCAGTCACGGATACAGTCGCACGCGTGCTCTCGGACAACGCCTCGGACAAGATTTTGATCTTCTCCAAATACCTGACTGTCCTCGACATCATCGAGAGAGCCCTGGAGGAGGCCGAAAAGGACGATGCCATCGGAGTCCGGGTGCTCCGGTTCGACGGTTCAATGTCTCATGCTAAGAGAGACAAGGTGCGCCACGAAGTGCAAAGCAACAGCACTACGCCCTGCGTCATCCTACTCACTGCGGGAGCTGGGGGTGTTGGGCTGACTCTCACTGCGGCCAACCACGTGATACTCTGCGAGTACTGGTGGACGCAGTCGGAGGAGCTTCAAGCCCTGTCGCGCTGTTATCGGCAGGGTCAAGAGAAAACCGTACACGTTTGGCGCGTGCGATCCCTCAACTCCGCCATTGAACTTTATGTGCAGCGGACGGCCAAGGCCAAGGCCACGGTCACGGGAGACATCGCTAAGTGGCTCGTTAGGGATCTTGCGTGGAACTCCATCGTCGAATTCAACCGAGACCCTGGGTTCTTTTGCCGCAAGAGTCACTTGGGCTCTCTTGCGTATGCCGATTTTACAAGGGATGCGGACAAGCCCGAAGTTCATTGAACGAGGGATGTGTGGTGGGCAGAACTTTGTTAGTTGCTTAGATTAGCATACGCGAAATCATTGACGTCTCTCTTAATGATGAGAAGGAATTCCACTTGGTCCTTGGTGTCACATCGTTGCCATGAATGTGAATTGGTATGAATGGAAGAAAAAGAAGAAGAACATTTGCTCGTGAGTCCTATGATAGATGGCACTTCCATCCGCCGGGGCCGTGTGTCTAGATATTGCTTGATGTATTGATGATTTCTGCGTGCCAAAAAAAAAAAAGGAAGAAGAAGAAAAATGTTTCGGTTTCCGTTGTATGTCTATCTCCCTACACGTCCTTACTTCGGAAAAGGGCAACGCCCTCGCTCGAGACAACATGTCCAAAGGAAGAGTCGCGTGGACGACTTCAGGAAGGTCTTTCGATGATGAAATTGCTGGAGGACCGAAGTACCAAATCTTCCAGGTACGCCCTAGCGTGATCGGTTGGCAGCTCTGAAAGACCAAGACCAAGGACGAGGACGAAATGTTGCGCCAGTTCATGTCCGCCCATAAGTGCGGTCTATGGCCCGTCTCTGCCGACGCCGCTTACGACGTGTCGATTGATGACACCCTTGTTCACCCTGACAGCCTTACCAAAGATATGCAAGCTGGCAAGAAGCATCTCGTTCTTCATGTAGGGTACTTCATCCCAGGACATCGTTGGAATTCAATGACAAGCAGATATCCTCACCACTAGACTATCGGGGATGTTGGTGTGATCTGAGATGCTCTCACGATGACCATGGAGGGCGACGACCCCACCGCACAACTCGCACCTGGCTTTTAGTGAGGTAGAGAATGAGGAGTTTTCATTAGAATAGTTCAGTAGAAGTTGGAAATAGAGATCGAGAAAATCCAAGCTGGGATGACATTGCCGTGGTAGCAGCACTCTTCGTGTCTCAAACAGTCAGTAACCGTGGTGGCACCAGATCTCCTGATGACAACAATTTAGCTTCTCAGAGATGCTTTTACCTTCAGTCTATGTTGTGCAAAGGTTACTAATGGCAATCTGAGTCTTCAATGGGTTGAGTCCCGAGATGAGAACATAGCGAACCCGGAACCGAAGTCCCCACAGAGGTTCGACAATGTACCTTCTACCCCACAAGCTGAGGCCCGCATATCCGAGGTTGACACCGCGATGCAAAAATAAACGCCCTGAACATATCTAAATGACATACTTCAAGCACAAGGTATAGGGACATGGTGTATGCATAGTGTAGCAAGATCAATACGGCATAAGTTGTGTTGATGAACGCATCCACATTCAACCTTCCATATAGTTGAATAATGAGCGATAGTGAAAAGTCCGTAATTCAAGCGCATGAAGTGATTAGGTAGTCACAACCGTTCTCAATCCGCCTTTCTTTCATTGAAGATTGATTTTCCCAACAGAAAGACATTGGAAATCGGACTTTACCTGGATCTCGTAATGCAATTGTGCAGCGACTGCAGTTTTGTAGTTGAGACATTCGAGGATTGTCAACGACATGGAAGTTGAACAGGTACTTGCCAGTGGTCCTGAGACGATTTCTCCGGTAAATAAAGGACACCCACACGAACGTCCGACCTTTCGAAATTGTCTTGATTGTGGATAGACAAATCAGGTATGGTTGCGTCTGGTGTGATGTTCAATAAGGTAGGTATTCAGACTGGTATAAAGTCTAATAATACACACTTGTGATTACAATACCCCGGTTCTTGATCACCCGGTGACATTAATTCATTCCTTTCCTTCATGGACCATGATGACATCATCTGACTGTGGATAACCAAACGTTGCGCTCCGAGGTGTATTGGGGTCCATGACAGACCCTGCGTTCGATTGCGTAATGTTTGACGATAAAGTACCTGACTTTGAGGACTGTCTGCCCTTGGCGATAGGTGTGAGTTCCTCGTTCTGCACCTCACGCTTTGATTTACTTGACCCCGTAAGTGATTCTCGGGTGTAATTGACAAGTTTGGGGAAGAACCTCCACGCAAGCTGCCGGGCGGCAGGCATGCAGGCAACGAAGATCCCCACGCAGAGCTCTACATAGGACCAAATAATACCCCAAAGGCACTCGGCTATGTATAAGATTCAGCTTCAACATTTAATCATAGAACACTAGTGTCACGTACCAGTGATATTGAAGCTTGTAGCAAAGACCAGAAGACTTTTAATTCGTACGATGCTGACTGAAGTGAGGCTTTTCTGTCGTCAGACTGGAGCATGCTAACAACGTTGAATCGATGGAAGGACTTACAAGACGCCTACACTGAACATCGCCATCACGCCAATTTTCTTCTTGAGTTCCATGTTAAGCTTATACAGTTGCGTTGCCGGAAGAATCAGCATCCACACGTCTAGCGCAATATTGAACGCTACGTGCGTCAAGCCGATTGTGTTGAGATCTGCGCAGTGGCCATCTTGCTCGCCATCCCACCCGTTCCAATAGTGCTGGAATGGCTGGCACTGAACGAGGCTGAGCAAGATGTAGCTTCCCCCGAGAAGAAAGTTGAAAATCTGCGTGCACCAGAGAAGGGTTCTGAAGCCTTGAATGCTGAAGACTCGTATATACAAATATATCACCGATGCCTTGATGACTGCCAGTCCTGAGATGTAAAAGAGCTGGAGAACGAACTGAAGCTGAAGATGACTCGTCAGATGGAATTCTAGGGACTGTGTGGGATTCTTACTTTCAGAAACATTGTAATCTCATATGGCTGCAATGTCCAGATATCTCGTCCTAAACCATATCGCATCACTATTCAAGGTTGTTAGTCAAATCATCTCAAAGCTAACCGGAGGAACTTACTGGCGAAGATGATCGGTGGAAAGGGTATCAAAAATGCCTATATCCGTGTCAGAGCTGTGTTCTTGAACGCATGTTGAGCGTTCGATTGGCATGCATACAAAAGCGATACATATTGCTGTGTCTTCTGCGCCCCAGGGTGCAAGACGCAGAATCCTAGCCGATAGTCGGATTGCCATGAAAACCACTGGTAGTATGAATAGAAAGATTGTTGTGTATCGTGCCGTACTCGTCCGATCAGTCAGGGGAAGCCCGCAGGACGACCATGTCAAGTTTGTAACAGCTAGATCATTGCATCAGCATCGACGAGCATCAACTAGCGAAATCGACATACTTACCCAATGTTTCCTTTATTGTACACGCATCTTTGATGCAGTCGCCAACAAGCCTGTTGAAAGTCGGATCGACACAAAGACACGTTTGATTCGAGATGGTGCAAGGCGATTGGGGAAGAGCCGAAAGAGCGCAGGATATCTCGAGAAATTGTTAGTTTGGTCGCACCAAGCCCACGAGAAACTCGTGGAAAGCTCGTGGGATACTGCTTACAGCGCACTGAGGAGCGTCAGCAATGGAGGCGGCTGACGCCAGCCCTGCTAGCCCAGTCAGGAGCAAGGGGACGAAAGAAGCCTTCATGGTGCAGTTCAAGGGTTTCCCTCTTGGTTTGCACCAGAGAACGCAGTGGTCTTTGATCGTGCACTCTGAAACCTCTATTGTCGGTATCCCACATTGCATGCGTGGCAGCGTGGGATTCTCGTGTATTATACGAATCTACATAATCGACGGAAACAATGCTAGCGTCTTCCATCTTTTCGATGATGCCCACTGAATCTAGACCCAGAAGCCGTCAACAAAAAACCACATCAGCGGCAAAGACGATCCCCTAAGATCGGCTCAAGTGGGAAACAGCGGGCAAAGGGCTTGGGGGCGCCTCAGCTTTGACGAGTAGGGGACGGCTGTCAACGCCAATGGACGCGTTCTTGGCCTGGCGTTCATTGTTGTTGAAAGAAAACAGATCGTTTTCGTGTATGGCTGTGGCTGCGTCGAGGACGATAATTGCGCCACAGGCGCAGCGTGGCTGGGAGGCCATGGCTGGCAATCTCGTCAGCTCTTGGGGCAACAAAAACCGCTTTTTGCATATCAGTTCGATGGGCATCAATCCGTTCCCTGTGGCTCATCGAGAGAGACATTGCTAACCTATTGAGGCTGGTCTTTGAAAGCGTAATTCACTGTGTCTTATTACCGTGCAATGCCGTAAGTGCTCCGCGGCCGCGGATATCAAGGCTAGATCGCCGGATTTGGGTCTAGATTCGCCGAATCGCACATCGTATCTAATGCGATAAGTTTGATCGCACGTGGGGTACATTCATGCTCAGATAGAGGGTTGAAACGAAATCAGAGCTACACTCCGGTATGTTTGTTTGTTTCAACAGCCAGCCTGTTGTCCTCGCCGTGTCACCTCAGGCAAGATAAGATTTCTTTTCGGACTCAGCCACGTGTAGCGCGCGTCTGAGGTTTGGAAGACGTCTTAATTGATTCATTTAACAGATTATCCGCTCGGCGACGGCCTCATGAATCTGAGGGTGCCCACCTTACTTTACGTCAAATTCTCTACACCACCATCCGAAGGTTCAAGCATTAACCGTCAGAGGTTGAGACGAGACAAGGACCCTCCCTGGATCTAATCAAGATTATCAATCAATCTGCATATATCCGTGCCACTGATCAAACGTTCAATAGCTTATCCGTGGAATGAAATCAATAGGGGAACAGTCTCAAAGTTCAAGCGTTGATTGAATGTAAGCCAACATATGCGATGAGCTACAAACACGACATTGACCAGAGAAGACACATTATCACAAGAGGAACATGATTTGAGTGGTAAACCACGAAAGGGTAGAATTGTATTCATGTCATTATTGGGTATATTGCATTCATTAGATACCCTTTTCAACCATTAGAAACCTCTTGGGCTTCTTTCATACACATCTTGTTTTAGACCTGAGCAGGCTTCTTCTCGGCGTGCTCAGACATTCCCTGGACACCCTCAGCAGCCTCCTGCTTCTCGTTGTACACAACATCTCTCGCCTCGGCATCAGCGTTACCGTGGAGACCAATTCTGTACCAGGGAAGCTCAAAGAGGCGGTCCATATCCTCGAGAGCACGGCCAGAAGTCTCAGGAACGAAGAACCAAACCCAGGCACCACCGATGAGGGTGATAGCGGCGAACGACCAGAAGGTACCCATGGGCGAGATTCCACCGACGGAGGTGGATGCCAGCATGTTGGGAACGGCACGGGAGTTGCCGTACTGGTTGGCGAAGTGAAGAGTCATGGCCCACGAGGTGGCGAGGGCGCGGACACGGAGGGGGAACAGCTCAGCGGTGAGGAGGTACTGCATGGAGTTCCAGCCAAGAGCCCAACCGAAGCCGGAGACGTAGATCATGGCGATGGCACCCTTGCTGACGCCGACCAGGTTGTGGGGGAGCTCAAAGGACTCGTCGACACCAAGCTTGGGCACGTGGGTGAGGAAGGAAGCAATGTAGACCATGGCAATGGCTTGCAAGGTGATACCCGTAAGCAGAGCGCGCTTGCGACCGATGACGTCGACCAAGAACAGCGCACAGCCGACAGCAGCGACGAGCTTGACGACACCGAAGACGGCGGTGATGAGAAGGGACTCGTTCTGGCCCTCGATACCGAGGATCTTGAAGAGATCGGGAGCGTAGAGGGTGATGGAGCCGGCGCCGGACCACTGGGAGAGGAACTGGACCATGGTGGTGAGGTAGAGACGGTACAAGTTGCTGGGGACGAGGAAGAGCTCCTTGACCTTTCCGAACCAGGTGGTACCCTTGGTGGCCTCGAGCTCTTCCTGGTGAGAGTGCTGGATGGCGTAGATCTCACGGGTGACATACTCGTGGTCGACGGGGAGGTGACGGAGGTGAGCCATGGTTTCGGTGGCCTCCTCAATCTTGCCCTGCTTGACGAGGAAGCGGGGTGACTCGAATTGGAAGAAGGTCAAGATGAAGATGATACCAGCGAACATGATATGCAAGGAGGTGGGTACGAGCCAGCGGTTGTGGGTGGTGTCGCCAAGGTGAATCTGGCATCCGTAGTTTGTGAAGTAGGCGAGCACGATACCGAGGTAGACGAAGCCGGTGAAGACACAGGTGCAGAGACCACGGACGGAGGCCGGTGCAATCTCGGCGAGGTAGACGGGGCCGACGACGGGTGTCTGGCCGACACCGAGACCGGCAATGAAACGACCAGCATAGACAGCACCGAGGTGTCCGTTGTTGGCCATGAAGATGGCAATACCGATGATCCAGATGACGCAGAGTTGACGGGTAGCCCAGATACGGCCGATCTTATCGCAAATGACGAAGGCACTGTACGTGGTATCAGTGGTTAGAGAGAGTTCTGCGAAGAGATATTGAACAGGGAAAGGGTAGCCAAGCTTACAAGAGAGCACCAGCGACGGAACCGAGCTGAACCATGGCAGAGACGTTGGCCTTGATGTTGGTCTTCTCGGCAGCGCTGTATTGATCGTAGTGAATGAACTTTTGGAAATCCTTGGAACCGAAAGCGCCAGAGATGAGACCCTCATCGACACCACGGGCCGCGCCCATGAGGCCGAAGGAGATGACAGCGAACCATAGCCGCCAGTTGAAGACGCCCTCGGGTTCACCGAGGTCGCCCAACTTGAAGATGTTGATGGGCTTCTTGACACCACCGCCTGCCATGTTGATGGTATTTGATTTGCTCGCACGGGATATCCAAGATGAACAAGAAAGGTGTGGGAGGAGGTGCGTGGGCTTTGGGGTATGAACACGACGGTTGAGGAACAAGGAATGCGAGGAAGGGAAAGGAGTGGTTCCTATTAATACTTAGATCTGAGGAGAGAAGGAGGAGGAGGGCACACGTAGATCCATACCTCCCTCGTTCTACATCACACTAGATCCCATCTTCGCGTGGACCAACCCGACCTATCTCACCCGTCCCCGCCCAAGAGAAAGAGATGACAGCCAGCGGCCAATGCGACCCCATGGGAAAAGAAGGGTAGAGGATGTCGGGGTGGATGGTCTCCGACGACTGGCCAATCGCTCAACTTCCGTTCCACCATCGTGAAAAAATTACGAGGGGAAGGAATGAACGGATGGTGTCCTTGTTACGAAACTAAGCAAGGGTGGCTTGGGATGGTGGGTACCAGTATGGGGATGAACATGGAGATGCGTGGGGAGGAGACCTGGCGAGCGGCGGCGGTCGAACAAGGTCGTGAAGTGGGCGGCAGCTTGCCCAAATCCGGCCATGCCAACCGCACGCCGGGGGCGGGTTTGGGGTAGGTTGGGGAAGACTAGGGAGACTAGGAACATAGGAAGACTAGGAAGACCAGGAGGGGAGAGAAGGCGGGAAGAAGGAAGATGGAAAGGCGACGAGGATAGTGCCGGTCAGATCTCCGTCGGCCTTTTCCAGCTCTCACTCACGAGAGCCGCTGCCTATTGTCCATCTTGACTGTGACCTTCGTCAACCCTCGTAGTTTTTCTCGGGCACACCTGTAACTGTGTCACCGCATAGGACCTATCTAATTATCCACTTTGATAATGCAATGGCAGAGTACACGTTATCCTCTCGGATCTTCGGCATGCTGAAAAAGGAAGGAAAATGTGTTGATGAATTACTCATTGCTGGGACGAGATATCACAATCTGAATCACAGCGAAGAACCGCCGAGTCGAATTGATGTAAGTGCAAGTTGACGGAAAAGCAGGAAAACAGGGGACCAAGAAAGAAGTGAATCGACGGAAAAACGCGCTGAGACAAAACTCAAATTTCAAAAGCGTTCACCTGCCCCTCAAAAAGCGAGGATAACCACTGTTTGACATCGGATGACTAGTAGGTTTAGCTCAAGGATAACCGTGGCTATAGGCAGCACGGTCTTCATGCCGCCCTCGTTCGCTTTCATATTTCGACATACGTTGGATTAGCGAGGCAGCCTATACTTGCCTCAACCGACGCGTTGGGATCAAGAGGCTCCCGCAAGTTTCCGTAATGCAACACACCTACATGCCATTCCATGCAGTAAGTTTTCGTAAACTGCTCTATCATTAGCCAAACCGTCAGACGGAGCTACGCCGCTCGTTCCATGGCGCACCGACGGCGCGCGAACGTTGATGGTGGTGGTCGGGACAAGAAATACGCCTCAAGTCTTGTTTGCGCCGGCAGGCTGCTGTCCCGCGTCGCTGGATTGGAACCAAGACTTTTCACCAAGGGCGATCAGCCAGCGCCAAGTGACGTGATGTCTCCCCCGGCTGGGCGTTCTGGGCTCTGCCAAGCAGGAACCTGAAGAGCTGGCCAAGTCGGGCCTGGCGGCAGGGTTTACTGAGGTACCTTACCCAACGGCATCCAAAGTTGCGGTCCAGCTGACTGCTCGCGTGTCCATGGCTCTTCTCACTGTGAGACAGACTGCAGTAATACACTGCCTGACTACCTACGTAGGCTGCGGGTGAGTTTGTGTGTGCGTTGACAGCGTTGTTCTCTGTGTGTGTGTAGGCGCTATTGTGCCACCCCTGGCTGATATAGGAGTTGGCTCCGCATTCTCCGCGCTTTGGGGTTTGGAGAAGATGAGATGGTCCAGATGAGCAACCATTTCCCCGCAACACACCACTCTGGCACTGCAACCCTCCTCAAAGATTTCTAGAAACATTGGCTGCGATATGACTCGTCGACGGCCGATGCTCGCTAGTTTTGCTGACAAACGGATGAGCTCCAGGAGGAAGAGGGGACCAAGAAGATGGAGAACAAGACTGGAGTACTATGGCACGGTCTACGCAGAGGCGGCAAGGCACTCTGCGAAGAGGAGGGGGAAGTTGAAATCCAAGACAAACCACTCGCAAAAGCCCCATCATCGGCCCATGATCCATGTCCAAAAGGCCGTTTGCGCGCGTGGAACCCAACAAAAACACGCAAGATTTCCCCCCATCCCCATATCTCAAAGTGCTTGTTTCGTCGCTGGCTAAAGTGCTAACGCAAGCTGCCTTGCGTAAAGAACTGGATACCCGACATGTTCGCACTCCGCAAGCTCGCAGCTCGCAGCTCGCCGCCGGCCGGTGGATCCCGAATGAACCGTTTCGGGCTTAAGTCGACGGGGCCATCAACTGCCGCTCGGCCATCTTCCGTGAGGGCGAAGACGGAGTGCGCCCGCGAGCCTCGAAGCCATTTTGGAATCGAGTCATCGCACCCCGGTCTGCTCCGGTTTATTGATACCTAGATGTGAAAAGATGCAGAGCGCCAGAGCCAGAGCCCGGCCGGAGACTGGCTAATTCAGCCATTCAGCAGAAGAACGGCCGACAAGGTCTGGCCCATCGGGGTTCGACCGACGATATTCGCCTCTCTCTTTCCTCTCACAGTGACTCTCGATCTCTTTCTCTTTCATCTCCCTCGGCTCGGTGCCCAATTTTTCGTCTCCTCCCCTCATTTTAGCCAAATAAGATGGATCTCGTAGTGACTCTGACCCCGTAGAATAAGCTTACATGTCCGAACTTGGCCAACCAGAGGAACGATAATCTGCGCCGTGATACTTTGATACGCCTAGTGATTCGTGAGCTTTGGGGAAGATCCGGCGGCAGCGCCAGGGTATCTCGGCCAGATTCCAAGATTCCCAACCCATCCTAGGGCACGGTCTTGGTATCAACCCCAAGTCCCCTTGATGGATCATGGGCCTCCTTTCAACCCCAAAGACCCCACGGAGAAAGCTTCCTTCAATGGGGATGGTATGGGGAAAACTGGAGTTGGAATATCTAAGCGCTCAACTTACAGCTCGCGTGAGATCTTGACGCTTCCACACACACCAAAAAAGTAGCAAGCAACGTAGGACACAGACGCACACCATGTTCTTAAATGGCACATTCTCAATAACACGGTGCTCGTTCCCACCCACGACGCGGACGGAGTCCACCCGTCAGGGTCGTCACATGGCGAAGGAAGCGGAGGAAGTCCAACAGGCAACTCCCAGCCATCCAGGATCAAGCATGCAGCCTACAGGTTTGCGGGGATTTCATGTCTTGGTAAATTAGACCTCATACGATCGTCCCACGCGGCGGCATGCCAACAAGAACTTTTTTTCTCCCTGAACTACACTAAGTATATTGGTCAAATCCTTTACCTGAGAATTTCCATGTTAGTGAAGAACTGGAGATCCTTCGCTCAAACCCAGACCGGCTTCGGAGGGCAGAATAGAGAGCGAGTCCGACTGATCGACGGTTGCAACGCTACTAGCGGCACTTACCAACGGTCCCAGAAACCTGATTTGTATGCTCTCCCCGCGCAGATTCTTTGTGACCGCTCTCATGGGCCATCGGCCATGTAACAGTCCATCCTTGGCGCCGAAGTCTCGCCCTTTCTCCGCGTTGTGCCATTCCCCTGGAAATCCGTACAAGATTACTCACCCACGGCCGACGAGACTCACCACTTTACATACTCATCTTCTGACCAACGACCTCCACATACCCTTGGTGCATGTCGCATAGTGGCTCTCCCCAAAGGCGACCTCCCACTCAGCAGCGAAAGTGTCGTTAAATATTCTCAGCAGCATCATCTGCTCCGGGTCACCGTCCACGTCGCAAACCTCGCACGGCGCGTTGACGGTTTCCTGGTCCTCGGCGGACAACGTGACGATAATTCTACACGAGCCGAAGAAGCACAAGCACTGCCGCGGGCCGATGAGCAGACTTCTCGGCGTAACACCGCGACGTGGGCGCCCTTGCATCCGTCATGCGGAGTATTCCCGCCCACGGCGCCGGTGCAGTTTGCGGAGGCGATCCACTGGATGCACATGACTGGGACTGGTTGTCTTGCTCTATTTCCTCCGTTGGGGCTATAGCTGCTACTATGTGAGTGAGACCTGAACGTGACAATCAGTGCGTATGTCGTATCCGAAATTTTGCTTGATGTATTGCAATTGAACCGATGCTTGCTAGCACTGGCGAACTAAATAACTTTACCACTCGGTGACTCTCGCTAAATAGACTCTGTATTTGTGTGTCAAACAATAGCATTGTCTGTCATTTGATGACCCAGCCCTCAACTCAATCGCCATATTGTTTGTTCTATGAGCGAATGTGATTCACAACCAATGTCTTTAGTCTTTGGGTCGCAACATACATATCCGTGCACAATCGCCAAATTCTAATGTCTTTTCACTTTTTTTGGTCATGTTCAGTCAAGAACAGAACATCAGATGTCTTTGAGCATTCGGCAAAAGTCGACGTTCACAAAAGAACGCCAAGAAACCTTGACAACCGTCGTTCCAAGCCACTTGGCATTGCCAAGATGGGCTCCAGCTAGAGCCTCAACTCCAATGACCCGCATCTACACTTCTCATTCAAACGGTCTGATATTATGTTCCTCTTCCATCTAGAAAACACCATGCCCCAGTGGGATGCTGCAGCGGACACATCCTCCCGCAACCTAATCGAGACATGACATGAACCATTACCCCCGGCCCGCTGCCGCCATCTCATCAACGAAGGTGCCGCATAGCCGGCCCAAAACGTGTCAATCCGTCAAGCAACCCGCAGCACCGGAGTAATCCTCCTCCACCCCCAAATTCTCCGCAACCTGTCAACATACTCGCTTCCCCGGGACAGGCAAAGTGCCATGCCTCTTTCCTCCTTCCTTCCCCATGGGCCATGACGGGGGTAAGATAAACGAATCACCCCCTCCTAGTTGAGGAACATGTACCCCCGGTTCCAGAGAACACACGCCATTTATACCCCTTTGATCCGTGAACCGCGTGCTCGTTTGAGTGTAGCTACCGCGCCGCCCACAACGTTTCCCCAACGCGACCCTTTACCCCGTGCCGAGTTGCGTTCCCCCAAATTCCAAAAGAACTTCCCTTGCCCTTACCGTCCTCTCGTCGTCGTACCCCGCAAAGGCCACCAGCTTCTCCACCGCCAACTTTGCATACTCCTTACTTAACTCCATCTCTCCCATGTTACGGTACACCCCAGCAACTATGCCGTAGAACTCGCCCGCCTGCGCCGTCAACTCTTCTTTCACCATGATATCCTCAAGCTCGTCGATCAGCTCCGCCACCAAAGACGGCGAGCCTGCGAGAACCGGGTCCTTGAGCTCCGAGAAGATCTCCGACAGCCGTCTGCGGTAGGCATCTGAGATGGCCAGCACTTCGGGAGGGGAACTACAGAGCGCGCAGGTGCAGTTGAAACCCCACTCTTGAAGTGCCTTTCGCCGGTCTTGGTGCAGCATGTTTAGCATCGAGTCTGTACGTTCCTGGCATTAGTCCTGTTCAAATGGCTGTGCGGGGCAGATTCAGGGTTCTTACAGCTGATGCTTAGTTCCTCGCCCGGCAAGATGTCTTTGTACGCCACAATTTCTAGTTCCAATGTCCGGGGCGAGAAGCGGGTGATTGCACTAGCTTTTGGTAAGCACTCTATCTTTTTCTATGTTGTCTTGAGAAGGTTGCAGGCGTACTTAGGCTTACAAGCATGATTGATTCTCTGGTTGGTGTCAGTGAAGCTGGAATAAGATGCCAGAAATTGATCACCTACCGCGACGTTTGGAAACAGTCCAAGATGAGCAACGTTATTGAAGCTTGCGCCAAATG